CCCCTCGCTACGGAAGTCATCTACCTCCCCATGCGGCAGTAATGAAGGGTACCTCTGTGCGGCTCACCCAGCAGCGTGGGGACATGGGCAGGGCAGTCATGCTTCAGCGCTGGGGGAGAGCTCTCCTGGGGATGACAAACATCACCCCCAAAGAGGGGCAGTAGCTGTAACGCTGTCTACATTGGCCCTTTTCAGCATTAAAGTTATCACTGAGGGAGGGTGTTTTTTCACACCCCTGAATGACTAAACTTTTAGTGCTAAAAGTGAAGGAATAGACTAGGAATTACCAGTGGGGCTGGAACACTCCCTACCTGCCACGGACAGGGGGCTGTTCCAGTCGGGAGGGGGAGACACAGGGAGGGCACAGCAAGAGGCCTGCAGCAGGAGGGGCCGAGGGGGCAGCAGCTGCTCTAGCTAGGCTGGATCAGTCATGATTGTGGTGGTAGGTTTCCAGCCCCCAGGTTAGCCAAAGAAATGGCATTTTACGTCTCTAGGGTAGACATAGCCTCAATCAGCAAGAGAATTCTCCCATCAACCTGCCACTGCCGACAATGGAGATTAGGACAACTTAACTCTCTCTCTTTTGGGGAGAGTGGATTGTTCTAGACAGTCGTGATTTTGCCAGAAGCGCTGTGTTGGTCACGGGTACCATTATTTTCACACTCAGACACAACTATGCTAGCAAAACATTCTAGCGTAAACTAAGCCTTTGCCACGGAAAGGCAACCTCAGTTTCTGCATCTCTGTGGTGCGTGGGTTGTGGTGTAGAGTTCACCACTGAATTCTTTTTGTTTAGATAAAAAATATATCATGGACCTAGATAGGCCTTGTCTACACTTGAACGTTTCCCTGGGAGGAGTATGTATTTGCCCCTTCCCTGGCCAATGTAATTATACCAGAAAAAGCCCTAACGTACACAGAGTTATGCTGGCAAAAAAAGTTCTTTTGGCAGTACAGTACTCCGTTCAGAGACCCAGAAACCTTTATCCAGATACACACACTCTTACTGCTTCGATAAGCTGTGTTTACCCAAGAAGGGTTTTCTGGATAGCTACATCAGCAAACTCTTTTAGTGTAAGCGAGGCCTTGAGTTTGGCAAGATTTGTTATATAACCAATCTAATGAGCTGCCCCAATTGGTGCTGCAACTGTACAACAGTTGTCGCACACCAAATGCTCTTCTAGCCTTAACAAAACACCTGTCCTTTGCCTTCCCTAGGGGACAATGGGCTGTAAGCTAGCGTTTCAGCTTTGCTTTAGAAACATTTTCCAGTTAAAATATAGAGTTTTAGGGTAATGCTGGATAAAAGAAAACAAAACAGCAAGGGACATGTTGGATAGATCTTTATATACATTGGAGAGAGTTGGTGCATCTGAGAGTGCATCCATCCAGGAGTCCATTTGTGCAAGAACTCCTAAACACAAAGAGCTAGGACCACCAAATTTGGTAGGCAGCTTCCTTTTCTAACTTAAAGCAAGGTCAGGATGTGGTTTTACCAGGACAATGGGATGTGCCTGGAATTTGATTGCATTCCATAACACGGAAGGGGAAAGGTGTGATAGAAGGGACAGTTATGCTCTGCAATGACCACAGGAGGCAGCGAGCGTGGGGGACAGTTATACTGTAGAGTAACCATGGGGAGGGAGGACACACCAAGAAAAGAGTGGCCCACTGGGAGCAGGGTTCTCCATATTGTTAGCCATTGGCCCAGATAAGCAGCCCCCCACCTCCTGACCAGCCCTCAGCCACAGCGTCAACCAGGGAGGAACCGGCTCTGCCACCCACTGCCAGGAGCCACCAGCCAAGGGAGCGCCATCCCTGCCGCAACAGGTGGTAAGCCTCCCCTGATCTGCCAGTCCCTTTCCCTGACTCCTGTATCACCACCTACTGCCTTGACCCACCCCTGTCCCCCGCCCACCTCCTGTCCTGACTCCTGCACCCCTCACCCTGAAGGACCTAAGAAATGCTAGTATTTGTATATCCTTACCCAGAATGCCTGTGAAGCTTGCAATTCATGGGTTAGGCCCCAGGTTGAGTTTGGCTTTAGCAAGACAGAATCACGTAATAATTTTCTTTCAGCCACAAGCCTATTGGCACATGTGGGTTAAAAATCAAGTCACAATCAAGTGGGTTAAAAATCAAGTAACAACCGCAGTAACAGCTGACTTGGTTTTCAGTAAGCCAGGAGTTACAGTCATAGATATTAGTTGACCAAACTCATGTAAATCCTTAGAGGATATTGTCTGCAGCCACATAAAAGATAAATGTGAGCTAATTAATTTTAGTTTGGAGAACAATGTTTGTGCAGATGTTGGTAGAGCACATAAAGTGTAACCCAACTGTAGTCAATGGTATTACACCCAGGATGACTTGAGGGGCTCTGTAAATCAAGTGAAATTTTGAAATGTGCCCCCTCCCTGCTTGCTGAATCCTACTTTGTGTCCTTGGATGTTAGGAACAGGAATACTTCTGATCAGAGAAGAGTATTACTTTAACATCTAGAACATTTTAAAGTGAACTCTTACTGAAACCAATGAAACATTAAATCATTTGCTTCAGGACACATCTAGCCTGCAAATAAGAACATGCAGCTGCCACTGAAGTCAAGAGCAGAAGTGTCTCTCAAGGCAGAATGTGGGCTTTTGTGATTCAAGTCCATTAGTTATAGTCTTTTTAAAAGTTATCCAATGAGAGCACTAGATCAGAGAGTAAGCCAGTGCATCAAGGCATTTTGTGTTTTATAAGAGCTCTAGCTCATCATCTAATAAACCATCTTGTTAGTCCTGTATTTTGCTATAAGAGCTCTGAGTGAGTACACAAACATCCGCACCAAAGTTCCAGGGTCTTTTGGCTTTCAGGATGTGTTCAGATGTCAGGTGCTACCTCATCCCAAACAGGAACTAATTTTTTCCACATTTTAAACAGAGGATGCTTGTTTTTCTTAAATTAGAGAAGTAAATTAAAACACCCATTTTAAAATCCGGATTTCTCACAGTATGCATCATGCAAAGCTCTTTTCAAATAGTGCCACCCAGTGGGAAAAAGTGAGAAACATGAAGAGATTCAACGAAGTAACTCGCTTTTCCATCATATTAAGAGCATGCTGTAAATCTTTCAACCTAACGCACATCATGAGTGAAACAGTCAGCCTTTATCTTCCCAGGGGCGGGATCCTTAATAGAAAAATTGCTAAGACATGCATCTTACACCACTTTAAGATGACCTCCAGCAATAAGTTACCTTTGAGAACTAGGCAAGGCTCCATGGGTTTTGTGTGTATCCATAAGCTGCACTGTGCTTTATTTCCACCTTTCCTCCGCCTGCGTTTCAGTGCTACCTCCATTGGCTACTACAACACAGGGAGGTTGAACTAGCATTTCACACATTGTGTGGCTTCGGCAGAGTGTGCATTACATCGATAGGGGTTCCCTGCATACCCGTCACACCACACACCAGTGCGCCCAGGTCTGGAATTCTGTATGCATTACATTTTCCACTCCAGATCCACCCTCCCAAGCCCATTCCTGATCCTCTACACATCCCTGGCTCCCCTTCTCTCCCATCTCTCTGGTCCCTCCTGCTTTACCCTCAGCCACGCTCCTTCTAAACTGTCCAGGGTGGGCAGAGGACGCTAGTAAGTTTAGGAAAAAAGATTTCCCTATTTAATGAAAGGTTCAGAGCACGGTAGCGGTATTACTACAGCCCCATCTAGTGGCTCAGTGGATTAGACAGTTAAGGTTAGATTTTTATTTGTATACAACAGACATCTGTAACCATGATCAGCTGTTACATTAAAATTGCTTTATTGCTAAAATCATTATTAAAAATAATTTTACATTTAGTAAAGATATTGACTAATCTCCCGGGACCATGCCTCTGGTCCTCAGAGACAGAAATGCATCCTGGAGTCAGTGGAGGGACACAGCTAAGCAACTCAATTTTTTGCCTAGTAACTGAGGAGCGTAGAGACATGTGCCACATCACCTTCATCCAGATCCTTTCATTCAGTCTCCTCAGGGCTGCATAGGGTCTCTGCATAATTCAGCTGCTCCACCAGCACCTCACCTTTTTGAAAACATGCTGAAGGAAGCGTCTCGTTTCCAGTAAAACTGCAAACCGATGCCTGAACAATCTTTGAGCTACAGTTCAGTTTGGGATTTCCTGTCTTGTGCCTTTGGACAAAAAGGGCTGCAGGATTGCTTGAATTTGCTCCACTGTCACAACAGCGGAGACTTAGACCTTGTTCTCTTCTCACCTACTTGGGGCCTACAATGGGAATAAGTCATCAACGTGGATCTGAACTGGGGAAACCAGGCCCAAGATCAGTAACAGAAAGCTGTTATTTTTTTGATAGTACACAAAGAATGAGTTTGACAAACGCATATAGGGCCTCTCCACACTGCACATGCTGAATATTGTGAAACTGGGAGCAAGTAAATAAAACACATTCAGCTCGCTGTACTCATCAGTCCAAGCTTGCCAACCTCTTCAATACTAATAGTTACTGCAAGTTCTCCCTAAAAAAAGTAACAGCTGGTGGTAGCTTCCATGCAATTATATTTACTCCAAATCATGTCCCCAGCTTCACTTGTGATGTTGCACGTAACTTCTTTCTTGGGCTGCTGCCGTGAAAATCAACAATAACCAAACAAAGATTCCCTCAGTGAAATACAAGATCATGTCACACTGAAGATCACAGACCTTGACTGAGTATTAAACTAATTTTTTACATACAAAAATAATTATACAGAGGGATACTTTCAGCAGAATACAATCTTTAAATATCCAAAGGCATATACACAGCATTTAAAAATTGCCTGCTGTACTTTACTGTGTTGTTTGATTTAAATACATCAATGAAGACAGTTCCTTGGTATACCCATCATGTGCTTGGGACTTATTGCAACAGAAGACTAACTACTGCAGTGGCAGGAAGAAATTCACAAAATATTTCTTTACAAAAACCAGAACATGAAAACTAACAAAACACACAAACAAAATTAAAATGTACTAAAATTTAATCATTCATAAAAGCTGTAATTTAATCTGTGACAGTAAAACACAAAAGCAATATTAGAGTTGGTTTAGTATATTATATATTTTTGCTTTGAAAGCCATAGAAATCAGTTATCCCAGGTTTTTTTCCTATAAAAGACCCATTTTTCCAAAGCATTATGCACAAATATTTTTAATTAGAATATAATGGCAGAAAATAATATTCCGTAACTTTTAAATATAAAATAAAGTCAATGACTCAAAAAGTTATTTGTTGCAGTGAGTTCAAAGGGAAATTTCTGATAACACATGGGAAATTTTGTATAGTACATATCTATGTAGTTATAGATATAAAGTATAATGGTTCAACATTTTTAGTGCCTGATGGGGAAGAATTATGATAAAAAGGTCAATATGAAATAATTTTAATTATAGTAGCAATATCTAACATTTGAAATGCACCCATGCTCTTTTGTATAATTATACACTAGAGTCAATTATATTTATTTTCACATCTGTTAACCGCTATTGCAAAGGAGAAATACTAATGTTTTAATTTCCAAGAGATATACACAGAGCAATTTCTTTTTTCCAGGGATCTTGTGCAAACCATTATAAGATCTAAATTCTTCACATAATATATAAAAACAGGAGAAGCCTCTTCAGATATGTTGTTGTCATTTTTTGAAATCTGGAATGCTGGCACTTTCCAATCAGGCAACAGTTCTTCATTCCTGCAATCTAGGATGTGATAAGGAAAAAAAAATTAGAAGCTTTCTTAAATCCTCACAGATATGAAACATCTTAAACAAAGGCCTAAAGATCATTCCTAATAATTGGCCATAGAAGGAAAAGCAGAGAACAAACTTAGCATTCTGCTAAAGCGGGTTATTTTACTTCACCGTTGTTTCCATTGTAATTACTCCATATGTATTTAAAAGTAGAGCGAGGGTGAGCAAGATATGGCCCACCGACCACTTTGCTACTCCCCTGCCCCCAGGCCAATTGAGACCCTGGGGTGGAGGCATGTACCAAGGCATTCACTGTTTAAAGCGGCAGGTGGCTCCCTCTTCCCTCTAGGTATCATGAACCCCTGGCGAGAGAGGGGCGCCACCAGCTTCTTTGAACAGAGAATGACTTCACGTACTCTCCCGCCCCCGAGTCCCAATTGGCCTAAGGGAAGGGAAGTGCGCCGAGTCTCCTCCCCCTGCCAGGGGCGTGTGGTGCCTAGAGGGAACCACCCCTTCTGCCCAAAGTCACACCCCTTCAGCATAAGGCCCCATCTTTTGGGGGGGTGGAGCCGGCCTGCAAACACTTCCAAAGTTCATTGAAATGGCACCCCCTGCAAAAATGATTGCCTATCCCCGAAACAGAGGAAGAAAATCACATTGATACTTTAGAAACCACTTGTCAACTCTTTGGGACATTCCTGACTTGAACAGTTGGGTGCTACTGTCATAGCAACATGGCCTACATTTCATCTGAGACGGCAGCACAGCAACTCCTCTGCTTGATACCCGATCACTCATTTTGGAAGTCAGGAATGCAAAAAACAGGAGTCGCTGTGGTTTAATTTCATTAACAAAATGACTATTTGACTAGAAACATCCCTTATGATTTTCTTCTAACGGATAATGAGTTAGCAACTTCATTAAAGCCTCTCTTGAAAGCTGGGATTGTAACAAATAGATTAAACAAATTAAGACGAGGCTAGCAATGGCAAGCACAGCAGACAATCTGATATTGTGAATATTCGAGTCAGACAAACATTTCTACTAATACAAAATTACCAGCGAGTCCTTTACCAACAAAGCTGCATATTCACATTTTTACCCGTAATTTACAGTCAGAGCAGCACGTAGCCTGAGTGTGTCCTCACTTTGCTACTCAAGGGGCAAGGAAAACAACGCAACGTATCACAGCATTCCATTTGGTCCAATGAAAGTGGTACCAGCTGCAAAGCTGTTGCAGTGAAGGGCCAGCAGCAAATGGCTTAACGTATAATAGGGACAGACCAGCAGATGGCACCTCTGCTCAACATCACGATGTAGTAGACGGAGTTAAGAATGGAGTTGGCTTGGCTGACGACACACTGACTAAATTCAAATCCATTGCCTGAGGTGTAGGAATCATAGAATCATAGGACTGGAAGGGACCACGAGAGGTCATTGAGTCCAGCCCCTCGCCCTCAAGGCAGGACCAGGCTCCGTCTACACCATCCCTGACAGATGTCTATCTAACCTGTTCTTAAATATCTCCAGAGAGGGAGATTCCACCACCTCCCTTGGCAATTTATTCCAATATTTGACCACCCTGACAGTTAGGAATTTTTTCCTGATGTCCAATCTAAACCTCCCCTGCTGCACTTTAAGCCCATTACTCCTTGTCCTGTCTTCAGAAACCAAGAGGAACAAATTTTCTCCTTCCTCCTTGTGACACCCTTTTAGATATTTGAAAACCGCTATCATGTCCCCCCTTCATCTTCTTTTTTCCAAACTAAACAAGCCCAGTTCATGAAGCCTGGCTTCATAGGTCATGTTCTCTAGACCTTTAATTATCCTTGTTGCTCTTCTCTGTACCCTTTCCAATTTCTCCACATCTTTCTTGAAATGTGGCGCCCAGAACTGGACACAGTACTCCAGCTGAGGCCTAACTAGTGCAGAGGAGAATGGCAGAATGACTTCACGAGTTTTGCTTACAACACACCTGTTGATACAACCTAGAACCATATTTGCTTTTTTTGCAACAGCGTCACACTGTTGACTCATATTCAACTTGTGGTCCACTATGCCCCCTAGATCTCTTTCCGCCATGCTCCTTCCTAGACAGTCGCTTCCCATCTTGTATGTATGGAACTGATTGTTCCTTCCTCAGTGGAGCACTTTGCATTTCTCTTTATTAAACTTCATCCTGTTTACCTCTGACCATTTCTCTAACTTGCTAAGGTCATTTTGAATTATGTGCCTATCCTCCAAAGAAGTTGCAACCCCACCCAGTTTGGTATCATCTGCAAACTTAATAAGCGTACTCTCTATCCCAATATCTACATCATTGATGAAGATATTGAACAGTACGGGTCCCAAAACAGACCCTTGAGGAACTCCACTTGTTATCCCTTTCCAGCAGGATTTAGCACCGTTAACAACAACTCTCTGACTACGGTTATCCAGCCAATTATGCTCCCACCTTATCGTGGCCCTATCTAAGGAAACGGGAGATGTATCTGGAATGGATTTTTATAAACCGTATTTCTTTCCTGTCTTTAATCGTAAATATTCGGGTTTGGCATGCAAATCATGAGGAAAGGCTAGAGGTAAACTACATAAAACCCCAGCCTACTAGAAACCACCACAGGCCTGCGCGTGGGGACGGCGAAGGGTGCAAAAGCACCCCTGCATGCTCCAGCCAGTCAGGGGAAGGCAGGAGTGGCGCACTGCCCCAGCCTCCCTCCTCCATGCTCTGACCAGCCGGGGGAAGGCTGGGGCTGATTTCCCCGCTTACTTGGGGGATCATCGGGGATGCAGTCACACCCTTGTGGTCCACATTTACAAAAAAGCACTCGCCCCAGAAATTCCTGCATATGGGCCTGCACCAAGGTAGTCAGCTGACTGCTCCAACCCTGACCAATCTGAAAGCTTTTTAAAGACAGGACATGTTAACATTTTATGAACTAAGATACATGACAGTCATAGAGATTAGAGAGACCTAGGACACAACAACTAGGCAGAGGACCAGTGATTCATGCAATCTTCAGAAACGAAGCAATTCATTTTAGAAATATTTGAGGGGTTAGTTTTTCCCCAAAGATACACCGCTGCTGCAGAATAAACAGAGTGTTTCTCCAGATATATTCTACTGGTACAACCTTAGCAGAACTGCGAAACATGCACCTATTGATAGATTTGGGGGGGAGAAGGAAGAGACATTCATTGTTCGGGAAGTGTAAGACAACTTAAAGAAACTGAAAGACCAGTGTAGTAGCTGCTTATGTCCAAGCAATGCTGCCTCTTATTCTTTTGAATCTAGCTTGAATCAACTGCATCATCTGAAGATGTCTCTCCTGTCTAATTAAGTAGTTTTTGGAATGGATGGGAGACTTATAAAGTAACATATGCATAGCCAGCACAATACCCATAAGGGTACCGGGCATGGAAGATGTGTAACAACTCTGTAGGAGCACAGGCATGATTCTGACCAAAACATGAAGCTTAAGAAAAGGATGGTCTCTTTTCAGGAGTAGTTTGTAACAGTGACTGGAGCACAGAGCATCTTGCCAAGATACACAGGAAGATTATGTCCAACCTCTTTTTTTGCGGGGGGGGGGGGGGGGGGGGGCGAGTGTT